GTGCGCAGGGCACCCTTCAGTGGTGTGCCAGGCACCTCTTGCAGGACACCGGTGCTTAGGCCCCCTGCAGGATGCCAGCTACCAATCCTGCTACTAGGACCCAAAGGAGGACCTTTGAGCCCAGAAGTTGCTGGTTCTGTTCAGGCAAATACCTGGGGAACCTATAGGGTTGGTGCAGCTCCGGGCCTGCCACCATCTCGCTCTGTGGTCTTGGCAGGCCACAAATAACTTCTTTGTGCTTCAGTTTCCTTATCTGAGGATGGAACATGTTATCTGAAAAGCATGTCTAAAGATAAAATGTAAGAGAGGAGTTTAAATATTTGGGAAAAATGAACATGGAATTGAAGTGCTAGATTATCTTCTTGTTGTTAGCTGTCGAAAGAATCTGTCCAAGTCAGTGCAGCATTAGCAGATGTTCCCAAAGGTTGCATTAGGCCTGTCACGAAGCATCTCTAATTACGAACCCCATCGCTACTGAGCTATAGAGAACACTGGCTAAGAGGACATTGAGAGCAAAGGAAGATGTAGGAGACAGGACACATGCAGAAGTCCTCCTCTAACATACTGCCTCCTCTAACATACTGCCGTGTGATAAGACACAACAGGCCAAGTTCCGTGTTTTTCCTGTTTCTGTAAGGATCTCAGTAGGGGTTTTTCTTTTTTAGGCTAATGGAAATGGTAAACAGGCTGAGAAACGAGTGAGCATGTGTTTCAAGTTCTGTCTGTTCATAATCGTTTTCTATTCATTAACAAAATGCTGCAAAGTAAGGTTTTCATACATTCCTCAGTGTAGTCATTATTCCATTAAAGGCCTTGCTTTGACGAGAGTCCCTTGGTGGGAACGTCATGTTTGTTTACCGTAGTAACTTGTTGGGAAGGGTTTTCCCCCATGAGACAGGGCTGCTCTGTGCAAGCAGCCAGCCTGGTGATAATTGCTGCCACTATTGAGGGACAGGCTGTGTGCCAAGAGCTTTGTCTATTTTGTATCACTCAGTCCTCACAACACCCATTTCACAGGTGGAAATGGGTGAGGCCTTTTCATATCCCCGAAGTCCCACAGCTGGGATGGCAGCGCTCTGCCCCAGCGACAGTGCCTTTCTGTGGGAACCAGTGTTGGAGGGACAAGGCCCGTCCTGTGCTTTCTACCGGGCAGCAGGGTAGCCTGAGGGTGACGCAAACCGGCCAGGAAATACCCCCCTTCAGAAAATGGGGGAATGAATTTATCCGGGAAGGTTTCATGTTCTTTCCCTGTGTTGGGATGCCAGTACCTGTGGAAGTTCCCATCTTCTTTAAGTGTGTGCTGCCATACAGACCCATTGCCTGCATGGTGTGTGAAATGTGCCAGAATATTATGCAAAGAGGTGTTTTTGTCTTTGAAGAGTAAAATATGGCCTGGAGGTGTCTGACACTCATTTACTAAATAACTGATGTTCCGAAGTAAGGTACAGAGCATAGTTTATGTTTCTCTTATATCGGGTTATTTTTTCAGCATATGTAAATTGACAAATAAAATTTATCTTTTATATAGCACATTATACTTTTAAAAGAGCTTAACAGGATTAACTGCCCAAATAGTAACGGGTGTAGGTCATACACATAGAGTAGGAGCTAAACCTGAGGTCTCTAGCTGAGTTAAAGAGAATCACAGATTTTTTTTTTAATATATATTTTTATTGATTTCAAAGAGGAAAGGAGGGGGAGAGAGAGATAGAAGCATCAATGATGAGAGAGAATCATTGATCAGCTACCTCCTGCACACCCCACACTAGGGATCAAGCTTGCAACCTGGGCATATGCCCCAACCGGGAATCGAACTGTGACCTCCTGGTTCATAGGTCGATGCTCAACCACAGCCACACTGGCCAGGCTCACAGATTTTTTTTTTTAATGAATTCTTAGCCTCTGTCTTTAAAAAAATTGATTGCCATTGAGCACTTTGGGGCTTTGTGGGAGAAAAAAAAAAGTTCAGTTCCTGCGGAATTGTCAAACCCAGGTGGCAAGAAGACACCAGGAAAGCAGGTAGGTGTCAGCTGAACTGTGTGTGTTGTGCGTCTCCGTGTAGACGAACGACACTGGGACCAGAGGCATCACCAGTAAAGGTCTGCGTTGTCCATTTGCAGTTGAGGACAGCTCCCCACAGATGAGCCCATCCAGCAGCAGAAGCGCTAGGAATGGCTCGGAGGAGTGCGATGAGGAAACACCTATATCCTCTCACTACTTTGCAAATAAAACCAAAAATGAAAGAAAACGGAAAAGGATGCCAGCCTGCCAAAGGTCTAAAAGGAGAAGAACTGGTGGTGATTTCAAGACAAAAGGGTAAGTTCTGCACCCCAGGGTATAAGGGAGAAAAGTATAAAAGTGCAACTGCTTTGGTTTTCTTTGAATCATTTATTAAAATAAACCATTGTGTTGCTTGATTCAACATTTGCTTTAGCTTTCATTTTATGTATTTATTTTTTAACATTTTTATTGATTTCAGAGAGGAAGGTAGAGGGAGCGAGAGATAGAAACATCAGTGATGAGAGAGAATCGTTGATCGGCTGCCTTCTGCATGCCCCTGACTGAGGATTGAGCCAGCAACCTGGGCATGTGCCCTAATTGGGAATCAAACCGCAACCTCCTGGTTCATAGGTCAACACTTAACCACTGAGCCGTGCTGGCCGGGCTGCTTCAGTTTTAAAAATCTACTCCTAAGTTGATTATCACTAAAATTTTCTAGTTTGTAAAAACTCCAATTTTGACTTTAACTTAGAAAAAAATTTTTATATAATTGCTTTTCTTAAGAGTCTTTTTCACCTAAAATACTATAAATCATATACTAGCTGAATAAATAGAAGCTTTTGTTTCCTCCTTACTTTCATGATTCCGTCTGTACTTGCTGTACTACTTGTATTGCCGCAGATCTACGGGCCTCCATTTGGAGGCCCTGCACGCTCCCTGCCATTCATCCAAACCTGGGAAAGCCCCCTCCCAGTCTGCAGGGCAGCAGGGAAGAGTCCACAACAGGAAAATCAAAAGCTCAGGCAAGCCAGGCTCCGAGAGACTGCGCAAATGGCTTCCATCCTCCCTTTCCTACACATGCCTACCCCCGGGCTGGGACTCACCTGCTATGGGCGCTGTTAGCAGGCCCAGGGGGAACAAAGGTAGTATTGTCAGGTGCTGGGTGATGACCTGGGCAGCGTTCGTACTTCATCATTGCACTGCTTCACACAGCCCCTCTCCCTGTCTTCTGCAAGGACGCTCTGTCCTCACCAGGAAAGTAAGGTCTGGCAGGACCATGACCACCTCAGCAGCCTGGATGACCGCCTCCCCGATAACTGCATGTTGTCACAGAGATGCTTACAGAAAAGGGAAAGAAGTCCTTAGTAAATTTCTGCAAGCTGTTGTGTTTTTTCTTTTGCAGTTTTTTGTAACTCTCTTCCTTCTGGGTAATAAAAAAATATATTTTTTGAGTGAAGGAAGAAAGGGGAAGGCAAATGTTACCAAATTGTCACTTTCTTGTTAAGTCCATAAACAAACATCTTGCCTGTGCTGATTCTTCTGCCAGGATACAGAAATTAAAAGCATTAGTAAATGTTAGTTTAATTTTGTGGTTTTTAATGCTCAAGTGACCAGCAGATGTTCTTCGGTGGGGACATTTTATTTTCTTCATTCCTTCGTTTTGGGAAATACTCATTTCCTCAGGAGCCCACACAGAGTAAGAGTCCTTAAAAGGCATGTGGTCCAGTCCCCTGGAGGTTATGATGAGGAAACTAAGGCCTGGCCTGGGGAACTTCTGCAAGGTTGAACCAGCCTGGTCTCAATTTTACAGCTAGGACCTGGACAGTGGCTCGCCCACACCTGCCCAGAGCATTATTTTTTCTTTTAATCCTAACCCGAGGATATTTTTCCATTGATTTTTTTTAAGAGAGAGTGGAAGAGAGAGGGAAAGACAGAGAGAAATAGCAATGTGAGAGAAACACATTGACTGGTTGCCTCCAGGTTGGAGAGGAATCTGCAACTGAGGTACGTGCCCTTGACCATAATTGAACCCAGGACCCTTTTGACTGGTTGCCTCCTGCACCAAACTGCAGGAGCCCAGACCAGGGTCCAAGCCGGAGAGGACCTGCAACCGAGGTACATGCCCTTGACCAGAATCGAACCTGGGACTTCTTGGTTCTCAGGCTGACGCTCTATCCACTGCACCAAACCAGCTAGGGCCCAGAGCGTTTTCATTTCTGCATGTCGTCCCTGGAAAGTCCTTAGCCATGGTTATGATTTCATTTTTACCTGTTAGAACAAAGCAAACCATATTTTTAAGTGTTCATTGCCATTGGCTCCCTTATTCCATTTTCACAGCTTTTGTCTATTAGAGGGAAGCGCTTTGCCCTGTGGCCTAGAACCTGATCTAACCAGAAGTCGGAAAGCTCAGTCAGTCCCAAAGCCAGTCCCAGTTTTGGTGCTGGTTTTTAATGAGCCTGTGTGTCTCTGATGGGGTTCTTCTCTGAACCAGTCCGTTTTGTGACTTTCTTTTACCTTTGTCACAGCCGCTTTGTGTCTGTGCCTCATTCTCCTCGTTTCCCCAGAGCCTCTCTGAAGGATTCCTCCGGGTCCACTGCTCACCTGGCTGAGAGTCTGCCAATGGCAGAACAAACATGGCTCTTTGCCAGGGCCCTTACCTCTCCACCCTACCGGAACCTTACCACTTGAGAATAACACACAATGAACGAATTTTGTTCCCAAGTTGTGTTGCCAGCTCTCTAAGTGGGAGTAAAATGGATGGCCTGGGTGAGATGGAGGCTGCTGTTGGCAGATTCGTTCTGTAAATCAACAGAAACAGCAGGTTTTTGCTCTGGACTTCGTATCTGAGCAGGAAATCTGCATAGGGAAATTCAGGCTGCTGCTCGGCCGGGTTAGCACATCTTTGCCAGTTCTGTGGTCATACTGCCCTGGAGCAAGAGTTGAACAATGTTGAAAAACCACTCTTGACCTAGTCCCACCAGAATGTCATTACCACAGACCAGTGGCCCCCGGATTCAGAGATGGGAGGCCACTTGCCAGCCCCAATGCTGTGGAATTCGTGTTGGGCTTGAATTCAGCCTGGTTACAAAGCAGCAGGAAATACTTGTGTAAGAAAAAGGCTTCTATAGAGAATGCTGCCGGCTGTTATCCTTGTAAACATACGGCCCTGTGGGGTTTTATTTATTTATTTTATATTTTATTGGGGGTGGGAAGGAGGAGGAAAGAATAGCTATTATCTTCAGGCCAGTGAGGGAAGTGAAGTGCTTGAAGGACTTTGTAATAGGCTGTGGCAAGGGCTTCTTTCCTGACTATAAAGGCAGCGAGTGGGAGGTACAAGAACACAGACCTGGGGGTGTAGGCAATCCAGCCAGCTGCCGGCGACGTGGCGGTGACAGAGACGTGCCAGACCCGAGCCCTCGCTGGCTCCCCAGGGAACCACATCTGCAGCCTTCCCCTGGCTGGGGCTGGACAGGAAGGGGCTCAGCTCTGCTCCACCCCCGTCTCCATGCACACAGCCACCTTCTCTGGACTGTGCAAGCACGGTAATTCCAGAGTATTGTCCAGGCATTTGGGGCCTTAAAACAAGGTACCCGTACTTTCTTTATTTGATCAGAATAGATCTGGGCTCTGTTGTCCCAAGGGAGGGGTCCGATTATCAGCTATGAAAGGTGTAGGTGGAGCGAAGGCACATGATTTGGCCTCAAGTCACAGAATTCAGGAACAGTCCTTGACATTTTAGGGAGATAAATTCGTCTGAAAAACAGCAGAGTCCTTTCCTCCGTGAATTGTAAGGGAAGCTGACCTGACCCAGGGGGGTTACAGGCAGAGAGACACGTCAGACCAAAGAAAACCATGGGTTATGTAGCTCTTCCAGGTTAAGAGGAAAAAAGACTGTTTTGGGGGGGGTTTTATATAACATTTCAATTTTCTCTGTCACATTTCAGGAGATCCACCACGTGCAGAAGGATATCTCCTAAAACTAAATCCTCCAGCATCCCCGGGCCAACATCAACTGCACGTGGTTCTCAGGCGGCAGCAGCAGTCAGTAGAAAATTGGGGATTATGGCTCCACCGAAGCCCGTGAACAGACCGTTCCTCAGGCCGACATACGCATTTTCCTAACAACCGAATCTCAATGCACAGCGATCTTGTTTCTTGTTTGTCAGCATCTGACCATCTGTGAATATAAAGCTGTTACTTTTGTTATGCCGTTTGTAATTTTTACCCGTATCTATTAATGCTTAAATAAATGCTTGGGGTGACAGTTCTATTTTTAAAGTAAACATTTTCTTTTGAATAAGCATGATTTGCTGCCACTGTAAGCCTTGTGGCTGCTGATTCTGAGAATGTCTGAAGCAGCAGCTGAATCATCTCAGTGAGAGAAATTCCAAGCACGCGTGAAACACAGAAGCTGAAGGGAAAGACACGCATGGGACGTTGTAAAACTGTAGAAGACGTAAGCAAAATTAGAAGACAGAGACAGAAAACGGGAGGGAAAATATGACAAAGGAGTAATATCTGCAATATACAAAGAGCACCTATAAATCATTAAGAAAAGACAGACCAGTAGAAAAAAGGGTGTGAATAGGTTCTTCTCAGAAGAAGAAATAAAAACGGCCCACAAATATGTGGAAAACGCTCAGTCTGCCTCGTTAAAAATATGAAGTAACACAGTGAGGTGCCATTTCTTTTTGCCCATCGAATAATTAAATAATCAGCATTAAATAATATCCCAACATCTGGGAACAACAAGAAAACGGTCAGACACTCTGTTAATGAGAATATGTTCAATGTTGGTGTCATCCTTCGGTACTAGGGGGCCTTACCCTATAAGACCCTTCACGAATAGGCTGGTTGGCCAGAAAGTCTTAAAGTGGAATTTGGGCACCTCTTATCTGTTTTTGGAGAAATCTTGTTTCTGAGCTGTAAGCAACGTCGGTGTCCCACTTCTTGACCTCAGTCAAGAGGGTAGAGCTGGGGAGGTCCTGGCTGGGCCACAGGTGTTAAGGACAGAGTGGCTGGGAGCCTTGTGGCCTCCGCCTGGAGGGAGACTGGGTATGGGGGTAGACCCTGCTCCCACTCTGAGGGACCACCCTTGGAGCTGCACACCTACTGACTGCCACCTGGGACCTTAGTGTGACGCATTTCACGGAGGAAACTAGCTGGACAGGAGGCTGCTGGGGGCTGTGCGCTGTTACCTCAGGGTGCCTCCCAGAGTTGACGTTTTTCGAGAAACCAATCTTCCAGCAAGTCCTGGCAAGTGGCCAGAGAAACCTTCTTGGAGTGAGGAAAGGAAATGGAGGGCAGAGTGGCCAGTAGATGAGGCTGCTGGGACAATGCCCCCCGGGTGAGGCCACCGTGCAGAGTTGGCAGTGCCCAAGGACATCTGGCAGGAGGTCAGACCCTTCCACCGACAGGAGTGCTGGCTTTGAGGGGTCGGGCAGCCCCTGCACAGAGCCGGTGTCACAGATGTTGCATCACTCCCTGTCTCTGACCTCATTCGTTCGTTCCTGAATTGAGGACCTATCTGCCTGGACAGTGGAGACTGCTAGCCCCTCAGGAGTGTCCACTCCGCCTCCAGGGGCTCCCAGGCAACGGGAAGATGGGTAAAGGCAGTGCTGTGGGAGCCCCAAGTGACGGAGTGTAGAAGCTTTGAGCAGCCAGCACTGTCACCTCCATCTTTTATCACATCCCCAAG